ACCACCGCATATTTTCCCAGTGTCAGCTGTTTGAAAGGCACTTTGATCATTTCAGATACATGTGTAAAACGTTTTCACGTGAAAAATAGATAACAGTTGTCTAGATTTTTTAGTGTTAGTTAGCCAAAACATTGTTGTAAACGTTTGATATGATATTATTTTACAGCATGAAGCAGACCACCGTTACAGAATGTATAGTAGCCAAAATAAATGAGGAAAATATTTTGTACAACTTAAACCCCCTTTTGTACCCCATAAAATCTGGAGAAAGTTTTTTGAAAATGTAAGTTAGATGTAACTTATTATAGATTCCATAGTATTTTGCCAACCAAATTATTTGCTTTATCACCTAAACAATATTGTTTGAATCCATATAGAATTTTTTTACTTTTTCATATTTTTTATAACATTTTAATCAATACAGTACTATTTTTTTCTTTTTTGTCTACGCAGAGTACAGCAAAAATATACTTAAACATTTCATTTAATTTTGATTTAGTTTATTATAAAAATCTTACTTTCATGTATTTACTTTTTTCATAGCATCTAAGTACAAGCTAGTCTAAGTAGTAATAGTAAATTCTACGCATTTTTTCCTCTGTCCACACAACTGGATTTAGGGGGCAGTGCAATTTCTAAAATCAATGATTTGTAAGCGGTTAATGAAAAATAAATCATTCATATGACATTATTTATATAATTTTGAAATCTCTTAAACTCTCCGGAAGGTTGGTTTTTAGTTGGTTGGATTAGTAACAAAAAACAAACTAAAGTTAGGTTGAATAATATTTAATAACATATTTACTGCCCCAAGACTTTTCCACCCTGTATAAAGATGACTTTTGTGGCAATCAAATTGTTTGTTACTATATACATTGATTAAGATTTTGGAAAAATGTGTTTAAAAAAGGTGATACATTATATTCAAAAACCAAGCTATTAAGTGTTTGAAAAGAAGATACGTTTTTCTTAGTAGCCAAGACTCTAAATTACTCTAAAATCTTTACTTTATTTTATAATTACATTTTATATATTTTTTTTTTAAACTCCACATTCCTACCATCCATTTATAAACTTTTTTTAGATTATATATGAATTAAGATGTTTATATAACGTGGTAGCTATACTTGACTGCAGTTTCTTGAATTTTATTGTTTATTATTACACTAGATCATTTTAATTTTGAATATACACTATAATAATTCTGTATCAAGGCACCAAGAAAAAAAAATCTGATCATAGTTTTTTAGTTATTCTTGATGAATAAATATCACGAGTAAAATTGGTAAACGGACTTGTAGGAAACAGAACTAACATGTGAATATTTACAAATATGAACTCAAACTCTATCCCTTTACTCAGAGGAAAATAAACACTTAGTGTTTGGCACTTTATCAAAAGCAGAGTTTATATTTATACTAACTACAACAAGATAACACCTGTCTTTTCAGTTACAACTCTTGTGAAATATGCACATACGCAAAACATACTCAGAAAATATTTGACTTAGTAAATCAACCAATTGGTTGGGGGGGGGGGGGGTTCAAAGAATAATTAAAGGTTATTGGTATAGAAATTATCCCTGTTCATAATTTGTGTACTATTTCAATCAAATTAATACAATATAATTTCAAACAGATGTCTCGAAACCTGTTATACAATATGCAAAAATGTTAAATAATGTTAAATAATTCTGACAAGGCGTATTGTTTTCACAACGAATCCGCTAATTTAGCCTAACATGACTTGTCGTGTAATCCTTTGGGATTTCTCCTTTAAGTCATCAAGTCGACAATATCATCTAACGGAGCGTAGCTGGTTACCAGGACTTATATTGTGTTGTTGATGGTGTTGTGATTAAACCCGATGATAAAAATCAATCATGTAGGATCTGTTGTATATGCAGTACCATTAAACTACATGTTTGACACTAAAACCGATCGTCAAAATATATGATTACTGTGATTCTGTAAGCTTAAATAGAGTGGATAATCTGCGCATGTAAATACACTACTAATATTTCTTGGAAAACATTTGTTGGACACTCCGTTTTGACATTTTATTCGAGTTTAAAGGAAGATTTCAGTTTAAAATTTGAGAAATCGGATGTTAAATTCTATAATTTTGTAAACTGAGATATTGAAGGTAAATATTTTTATAGTTAAAGAAATTTCTATATAGAGTCTAAGTTTCTTCTTATCGAGAGCGTTTCTTCGTAAACTCCATTTATTAGGCGTAAGTCTTACTTTTACGTGAAGCTTTTCAAGCTTTACAAATTTGCTCTCATTTATTTAACTCACTTTAAGACTTCTCACTTCGGATGGATAATACAGTAAGAAAACGAATAGTTGAACATTTTAAATTGTAATAGTTTTGTAAACATTTAGAAAATATCCCATTAAACTACTAGTTAATAAAATTCCATTATTCTTACAAAATTATCATAGCTCAACTTGGTGTGTCATAGGGTTTTATTCAACAGTTTAATTCAAAATTAACACGATTTTAATAAATGTAACTTTTTAACGGCTTTATAAAACGTCATACAGTATATGAGAAAATCGTTGTTTCGAAATTGGTTTGTTGTGGTGAGGAATTTTTTTTTATCATTAATTTTGTTTCAAAACTAACATGATAAAAAATTTAAAAAAATAACAGAAGTTTCTACAGCTAAGCATATAGAGCTATGATATATTACAGTGTAAGTAAACAACATTTGACAAACAAAAATACTTATGCTACCGACCTCGGAGTGAAGCACGTACTGTACAAAAACATCTTTAACCTACTTCCAAGTAATTAAATAATCCCTGTCGTATTTCCAAGATTTTCAAAGTAAAGCTATAAATTAGCATTTCATGACATTCGAATGATTCATAAAGAGCTCATTAAATCTCAAGAGAATATGAAATGATGTCGCGATCGAATATTCAGAAAGAGTCTTCCAGAGAACGTCTGTCAGAACCACTCACGTATATCAACTTTGAATCCAAAATGTTGCTCCAGTAAGACGTTTACTGTGCAGACGATTTAAATCCACTTTCTTCAAAAGGTTCTATCACTGGATTATTTATGTCGAATCCGAATTCTAGTAATAAATAATGTCTTGCGTTGATCGATCGAGAAGTTTTGCATAGAAGTGGAGCTCTCCAGATTATGTATATTCCATCTTAGCTCTAGTAGTAAATACTGTACTGTAATGTCTAGTGTTATTGGATTTTGACATTTTTTTCCTAAATAAATTTAAAGCTTGTTTGTCGTTCTAGCCTATTTTCAAAACATGAATGGTCTGTTATTAAACTATACTACTTTAAAAATAATACATAAGTTGTACAAGATTTTTGGCTTGGTCGAGTCCAAAATATTTCTCTACCTCAGCTCTTGCTTTGCCTAATACGCTGCGTGCAAAGACCTGACACTGATGGAAAACTCAAGTTTATTTAAAGCCAAAAGCTTATCTAAAATATTTAAAGCAGCCAAGACTCTTTTGACTAAACGGTTTGACTCAACCATAAAGTTAAAATAATGTTATATTCTGCCGGCCTCATATTAGTAACTCATCGTGTATAGAAACTGAATGTCGTATCCGGGAGCAGAGTTATTTGAACTGGTATGACAATTGTGCCAGCTGTGCCAACATATACCAAGTGTTGCAGTTGGTAACGCTAAAAGTCACCTGTGACGCTATCAGCTGATTAGTACCACGGCTTTAAAACAATACGATCATCTACAAATTTTAAAATCATTTACATTCCTGGTAATCATAAATTTGTAAACATACGTTTATTCGTTGCTAAAACAGGCAAATATTGAAAGAAATATTAGAAAATATTGAATATTGAAAGAATATATTGAAGGTAAACATTTATTTAATTGAAAGAACGCAAGTAAGATTATAAGATTTGCTTGAAGGTTTTGGGTTTTGGAAAAAGTTTGTAGTAAAATAAACTTAGAACAAACATAAATCGTTGTTTTATAAAACATGTAAAACGCTAAAACACGTTCACATATGGATCTCTTGGTAGTTAATAGTTATTGACAAGATCTAAAAAGTAAAGGAATCAGAAATAACAATTGTTATTCTAAACCAGTGTGTCATGTCAAGAGTTTGGTAGCAAGCCATGTGTATATTATGTACATGTAACATGCGTCCCGAGTTACTGAAGAGATTTAACATTCAGAATACGGCAAATGTTCCAGGCCTGGCTTGAAACTTTGTGATACATTGTGATACATTGTGAGGCCCCTAATAGACACACATATATAAAAATAAATCCTGCAAACATGGTTTTGGTTAAAATCTTGGATTTTGGAAACAAAGATTTCCACCATCATTATCCCACTGTATAATTATTTAAACTTATCTATAAAAGGTACTGTGTAATAACAAAAGTGACTGGGTTCGGTAACCAAATAGCCTTTATGTTAGATAAAGATTTACACGGTCAGTACAAAATTATTAACAATTTTGTATTTATTATATCTAATTATGAAGTGATAATAAAAAAAAAATGTTTCAGTAAATACCATATAAAAAAGCAGCACTTACCCCAGTCAATCATTGAATAAATGTGTTCAGACTCACCTGAAAAATAAACAATTTATTAATTAAATAATCTCCCAAATGGCATATTATGAAATATTATCTCTGTATGTTTATGGCAAAATTACAGGTGATTATAACTTGAAATGCCGTTATATTCATAGTACCTTCTTAATATGGTATTTTAAGGCAATGTAATTAATTGAATCATCTGTAGGTGGCTTACCATAAATATAGTCATAGTCTTGCTCCATACTTTATAGTTTTGAATAATTGACCAATGTTTGACGGTGAAAATTTTACCTTTAACTGACTAGTAATAAAGAAAACTGATTATATATTAATTTCTTTCGTTTATAGTTTTCACATCATAAATTATTTTACATATTAGTTATATATTGTTATAATCCTCATGGTTTTTAGAATACAACTGAAATACTACAAAACTTATATTTACCCAGTAAAGAATTCCTCAGTAGACCCTGGAAGAACGAGTTTGGGAAGGACGACCGCTTTCTTTCGTCTGGTCTTGAGTGTTTGCGTGGTAAACTGCCACATCTCAGACGTGTTGTATGATCCTCCAGGTGTAGGAAGATTCTGTATCATGGGACTGTGAGGAGACAAGATAGTAAGTCGACGATTGCAGAACTCTGGAGGCATGAGAGACAAATGGGACGGCACGGCTGCTCTACCGGAGGCAAACAATCCTCTCTTCTTTTCAGCAGGTGAACTGCAGTCACTACTGACCTCTTCCCCAGACACCGTTCTTCTATATCTGTTGCTCATCATTCTTATTTCTTTTTCCAAACTTTCCAGTGACCTAGCTTCTACCGAGGCAGAAGCTACTCCTCTAACGTCTTTTTCAGACCTAGTTATGAAGCTAGCTCTGTGTTCTCTAAGACTCTCCATAGATCTACTGTTGACATTTGCAGCTCCAGTATCTGCTGTTAGCCATTGCTGTCTGTTTTCTTGGCCAGTGTTAGATCTTAGTAGCATTCCTCTTGTGCCAGAGACCTCTGTGGATTCTTCCTCTAAGATGCCTCCTCTCAAGACCTGCCTTCTTCCCCCGACTGTAAGATTTTCCAGTGATTTCTGTTCTGTTATGTTGAGTTTCGTTTCGTCTAAACTACCATGGCTTCTACTTAAAGCTTGAAAAGCACTATGTGAGAGGTTTCTATCTTCAGCTACTAAAAAGCCCTTGGGCAAATCTTCTTGGCTTGATTTGGTAAGTTCTTCTGAATTCGGATAAGAGTCCTCGCTTTTATCGAGTGACCCTTCTTTATTGTCGTCAGGTTCGGTTATTATCACATTGTTGTCACATTCTTCTCTAATGGAGTCGGATTTCAAGACTGATGGCTGTCTTTGTATTGATTTCCCAAGATCGAGCAAAGCTGTTGTTCTGTACACCTTTTTGTCTCCACCGCCTTTTCCCAGTTCTTGGATTGTTATCTCTTCTCGTAGATTTCTATCAGGTGAGGCCTTCGGGGACTTGTTGAGAGACGATGCTGATATTGAACGTGGCTCGTACGACGGTTCATACGCACCACTGATCTTACCTAGAGTGCTAGATTCGTCGAGGCTAGTAGCGAATCTTTTTGTCAAGCTAGCGGTAGACACATTCGACGATGAAATGTCCGAAACTGAACTAGTCGTCCGCACCGTAGTACGAACTATTCTGGTCGTTCGAACACCTGCTGCTTCAAACGTCTCCTGAGTTTGTTTCACCGCGACACTTTGCTTGTTCTTGGAAACCTCCTCCTCCTCGGTTTCCTCCATTATGCTTCAATCTTAAACCTCTAAAACACAGTCTAACTATCTTATTTTCACAACAGTTACAACATCGATATCACAGTTTGTGGTGTTCCATCTGTGTTCCATCTGAAAATAACACATGAAATAGAACCTAGTTTTCTTTTACCAAAGGAAAAGTTACCACTTGTATATATAGTTAGTTGCAATAGCTAAATTAATTCTACATTATACACATACGATTTACACACTTGAAATGTTGTAAAAAAATATAGGGCTAGTTGAGAGGACATAGTTGGATACTTACTAGGTATGTATCTATATATAATTTGCAAAATTCAGGGTTGCCTTGAGCCTTGCGCGATTAAAAAGGTTTGTGTATACGACGTAACACAGCATTTAGTACTAGCATACTCTATTTGACCCTTTCATAATGGATAGTCGTAATATCACAGCTATGAATATTGTGTCTTTACAATTTAGTGGTAAAATGAAAAAAAAAAATAATTATGCATAAAAATTGCACCGTAACTGTACCTCTACAGGCCGCGTTGGCAGAACATGTGTGTATCATGTACTTGGTGCGAGCTGGCACCACAACTTGGGAATATGCTTTACTGGCACGCACATGTCTAATCTAGACTCATTGCAAACTGTCTACTTTGTATACGAATGTTGTCGATTTGGACCTACGACGACATTTCGTTATTTTTACGTAGCTTTGTAAATATTCCAGTGTTTGTGAGAGAGAAAAAAGCAATAATCTACTGAACAGGAACTAAAAATAGTTTTTTCGATGTTCCTTAATAAGATTTAATTTGATTATTATGATTTTATTTTTATTTTTAGATGATATGCATTAGGCTATTTTGTTAGTAAATAAGTAATTTTTGAAGACTACTGCATTTCGACTTTGAAGTTGAATAAGTAATAATGAATGAACTTGAAATAAGTCTGTATGGTGTACATGGAAATGAAAAACTAATCTTGAAAGGTTTTGCTGATTATTTGCGAGTACAGTACTTACTAAGTAAAACATTATACACAAACGTGTAACAAAAATATTAAACTATTCAATTTTTGGCTCTATTCAAATCAAAATCTTGTACTATATTCTTTCATCATTATTACAACTCAGCATACAGTGTACGATACATTTAAATCTTACTAAAAGATAATGTTATTACTGTTCTTAGAACTGAGTGATTTGTTGAAATAATATTTTACTAATAAACAATGCTCATAGTTTTTTATGTAAATTTTCACCATAAATAGTAACCTTTAAATTGTTACCAAAAGGTCAACTTAAAGTTCAACTTTTTTAAATAAAATGTTAGTAAGAAATAAAATATTTACGGTTAGGTTACGTAGTTAGTAGTACAGGTGATAGTAATCGTTAAACGTGTAGGACATTTTGCAGCTTTACTACTCAGTCTTCGACCTTGCATTGTTTGTGATGATGAGTTTACACTTGACATTCCTCTGATATGAGCCATGTCCCAAAATACTCCCTTTCTCTCGTCCCATTTTCCCCGTTCCCCTCCCCTCAAAGAGCACACCTGGTGTGCCAAATGTTTCGTAGCAGACACTATGCTATGACTGTGTACTTGTACATATTTGTTACGTGACGGTACACATGTTGTGCAATGCAAAATGGTAAAACTAAGTGTCAGTAATCCTGATAGTTAGTGCACTGATGTTGAATGTTTTTAACCTATTTAACTGTGCACGTCTCACAACCTTAATTAAACTTTAATATTTAATTAAATACTAATTGAGCGTCCTTCTGTGACACACCGAAATTCTATATTGATACTCGTTACAGAATATATTTACGAGTTTCGAAAAGAAATAAAGGGATAACTAATGTACGTTGATAATTATTGACAAGTAAATTGACTGGAATAATTAATTTTTGTCATAACTTGACGATATAATCTGAATCAGTTACATCAGACTCGGCTAGATAATATATTATCACATTGATAAAATCCATTAGTGGTTGACATGGTTTGAACCAGGGTCATTGTGGGCCGAGGCCCTGTGCTCTACCAGTAGATCAGCTCACTCCCGATGGAGTCCGAGCTACAACTATTGTCTTTACCAATCAATATATCACATAGTCAAAAATATAATATAATATCAAACCCCCTACGCTGAAATAATTGTACAAATTGTATGGAAATACGAACAATATCTGATATTATTTGTCATTTCGGAGTTGATCGGACCAATAACCAGAATCAAGTGATACAAAAAGTGGCGTGTCAATATTGAAAGGTACGTATAAGAAAAATTGAGTAACGATTTGGGTTAAGTTAAAGACTTTACGTCTCACACCTAAATAAACAGGAGTATACATATATCTAATCTAGGAAAGTTTGAGAACCGTTTAGTAAAGAAAACTTCCGTTTTGAGTACCTTGTAATAATTAATGCCCTGTGAAAGCAAATTGTATTTCGTAATAAGGCTCCTACACAGGTTTGTATTTTAGTTTGACATTGCTGAAGATTGATACATACTAGATTATTTATACCTTAATTTAACCGTAACAGTACAGTTAAAATTATTTCAATTATTAGTTAATAAATTGTGATACATATATTCAGTCTGTGTTTAACTCTCTGTTCTCTTTAAATGTGGGGAAACATACATATCAAATTTATAAATGAAAACGATTACTTTGTGGAAAACAATAAAACCATTCCACACGCCACGAAAGATTTGTTTCGCAAAAATTAATTCAATTTTATATAGGCACTTTATGTTTTAAGTAACTCATTTACATAATGAATTTGGTGTACTGTACTAACAGTATAAGCCCCTTGATGATTGAAGATATTGAAGAGACACCTGAGCTTTTTAATAATGACTTGAATGTTAATAACATGGCCTATACCATCTTTATTATTTGATCCAACAATTACATATGGTAAGTTTCACTCATAAGTTTAAAAATATACGTACTTTATAGAATATATAAATTGTTGCAAAAAGGGTATTTATGGTTATGGTTTGACTCATTGATTGACGTAGAGGCGTAATTAAAATGTTAAGGCAAAGCAAAGGTCGTTTGAGTTGATATTAATTGCAATAGCTGCCAACAACTTTGCGGTCTAGAGCTCTTAAAAGTCAATTTCAGTTGTCGAAGTGGAAACGGGTTGGCCAGAAATTTTGCTCGTTTTTTAACACGTTTGTAAATCTTACTTAAATAACGACAATTTGCCTCGATAACCAGCTGCTTGTACATTTTTATATAAGGCCAAGAAAATTATGTTAAAATTTTATTTTAATAGGTGGGCCTACCCTAATCTACGATTGACTACGCTATCATTGAAACGTCTTTAGAGCTAAACATCAAACATTACAATATGTGATAGTATCCTTGAAATTATTCATTTGAAAAAGGAAATACTCTTGCTAATTTGAGTTTTACCTTTGACTATTAATTAGTCATGGTTTTACCTAGTTTAAAAAGAATTTGATAACGAACTCAATATCCCAGTTCACTTCATCAAGAGATCAAGTATTTTAAAGAAACAGAACAATTACAAAGAACTGTATTTAATGCGATTCATTTTAAATATTGCCCGGATATATTAATAAATTTTAGTTAAGAAAAGATGATATATAAAGTATAAGACATCACTTATGACACCATACAGCCTAGTGTCTATTCATTAAGAAATATAATAACCAGGATCGTCGAGAATAATAAAAACAGCATAATAATAATAATAATAATACAATAGAACCTAGACTCTCATGGTGATTATTAAATAAGACTTGTTATCAAGGTAAACTTCTTATCGAGGTTTGCAATAAAATGTGATTAGGGGTTAAATAAATTCTAGGGGATTTAAAATGACACTTATTAAGGATGACTTGTTATCGAGGTTACACTGGAATCTGTTTATTTTGCAGCTCAATCGGTAGCACGGTACACTTTAAAACCAAAGCAGTGACGTTGTGAGTTCAAATCCCGGCTCCATCACAAATAATATATCAGTTCATTTTATTTTTGTACTGTTTAGACTTAAACCTTGCTGTGATTGAAATGTTCTATTTTAGAAGCCCTTGTGTATGAGCAAATGATAGTTAAAAAGGCCGCAAAAAATAAATGAATAATATTATAGACGAATTATAATTATATCCACTTTGAAATTTAGTATACTGAATATTAACCTAATGCGTTCCCAAACGTTAGATTCATATCACATATCTCACCTCCAATTAAAACTTAGTCAACGGTAATATAGATGACAGCAGAGTTTAGTAATAGGACGATGCATCTTCTGTGATTCATGCGATGCACGAGTGTTTAGCCGACTCAGGTGAATGAAATTCGCTAACTTTTATCGTTTATCATATTTATAGGTAGGCCTAGTTCATTAGCATGTCCATTCTGTGGAAAATATTATTGAACAGTCAGTGAGATAATAATTTAATTATATTATTACCGAAGTACAATCTATATAGGAAATATGTAATAGGTTGTTGAACATTTTTGGAAAAGGTAATTTGATTTTGGTTGGAGTTATTAAATTACAACTGAAATAAAAACACTTTTAAATATCTTTATTTATAATCAGTAATTATTTGATAAAATATTTTCATTGGTTGAGTCACAATGACACACATATTAAACTAGGCTAATTATTTGTAAAGATCGCACAATAAACAATGACAACAAATTATTTACTTCACTCTTAGCTAAATATTATTTTTTCTGTAAGTTTTTACCAAACCGCAATAAAATAATTGTTGTTAATCGTGCGATTTTGATTGACAGGTCTAAAAGCAGACGGTTTAAATTATAGAGGAAATTATGAAACTAAAATTAGATTAAGATAACCAGTGTGCGTAATAGTTATGGGCAAGAATTAAAACTAACAAAATAATGAAAATAACAAACCCTAATTTGAGGTCGTAAAAAGTTATGGTGACACTACTACATAGTCAATTTGAGATTCTTAAAAATTAAAGCTCAGAATAGCAGTTGCTCATTAAAACATACATTTGAAAGTGTGAGGTTGAGAAACGCAGTTTCTTGAGCCTCTCGTTCGTATTCAAACACAAACTGCATTTCTAACGAGATTTAACTCTGGCAATTGTCGAGATTACTCTGC